TTGAGACTTCCTCATTGCTCACATGTTCTGTCTATGGTAAATTATATTTATGAGTATTTACACTATTTACATCGTTTGGACTGCTGTTCTCATCTTTATTGCTATATTCATGATGTTTTGGTTGTTGTGCACTCTGACCTTCTTCAGGTCATATACATTGGAATTTCGAATTTAACTCTTTTAGATTTTTCATACCTTTTTTAGATATCTGAATTTCAGTTAATTCCCTTTAGTGATTCAACTCTCCAAGTTGTGGTCAGATATTGAACTCACAACTCTTTAGGTCAAGTCACTTTTTAGATCACCCAACAAATGCTTTTATCCACTAGGTCATGTGTCCCCAAGAAGATAAAAAAGATGGATAATAAAAATAGGGACAACACTCTGAATGATGTAAGTAATGTAAATAGTTACAACTAGCAGCATGTTCTCCCCTCCCCTGAATGGCGTGACCAATCAGAAAAATCTCTCGATGAATCAAAGGCGTTGTTTTTCGCCTATAAAGGCAGAAGATTTTCTGAGTTGTTGGCGGAACACGTGTTTTTTGCTCATGAGAAGGTTGGACGTGTGACCTCATTTTGTTGTTTCTACTTTGTTTATTGGACTGTTATGATGGGCTATCGTTTGAACTGCGATTTGGCTACAAGTGTCGTGGTCGAGAAACAGAAGAAATCTATTGCAGTTGCTACTATCAGTTGACAGTCTTTTCTTACAATAGAGTCATGTCTCGTGACCAAAAATCTGTGTAGCGACTTTGTTAGAAGTCATAAAAGCCAGAATTTGTTAACACCAGGGATGGACTTAAAGGGGTGCTGCTGATAAGACAGGAATGAAGGAAATGAATTTTAATAACTCAGCCACATCGGAGTTTCTGGTGTGAATGCCAAGCAGTATAGCATGTCATTTCTACATTTCTGGCAGAGTGAATTTCGTCATGGATTTCTTTTTCTCACAGACTGTGCCCAATTGAACCTATTATAATTTGCAGTTGACAAAATCAAAAACAATCAATGCATATGCATGAAATTAAAAATATAAAATGGCAACAATTTACCCATCACACCCTGTAGATGTAGTAATTCTGAAAGAAGAGAATTAGTTTAACAATAGAAAATTGCCCCTCACTTTATGTTCAATATACAATCTTATCCTAACATTAGATTAGTTACACTGTCAAAAATGGAAGCATATTCCATTGAGACTTTATTATTATTATTAAAAGGTTTTTGCATGTAAGTTTTTAAATATTAGGTTGTTACATATATTCTTTCATTTTTTTTTCCTGATGTTCATCGAATGATCTGGAAGAACAATCTTTCGTAGCATTTTTTGCTTCTTCATAACTCTGGTCATGCTGTGAAACTGTTGTCTAGCATTATTGAAATTTTATTTCAGATTAGACACCCCTTTGAGATGTAATGCCACATAAGCAAGAATAAGCATGTGTGACATCTTTTTGGTTTTAATCAAGATCACAAAGCTGCTTGAGAATTTTTGTTGGTTGTTTTGTTTAGTGGCCTATCAACTCTATTGGTTATTTAATGCCAAAGTCTAAATATTTTGTAAACAATTTTACTTTATTTTTGGATATAATAGTAGTTTAGTGATATACCTCTTATTAGTTAACCCATTAGCTGGTAGAGAGAAGAGTTGGATTCATACCAAAAGTATTTGCTCGTAAGTGAATATAACCAACCCAACTGAAATTGGAACTTGGCTCTCCAATTAAAAATTAAGAGACACTATCCATTACACCACCTGCAAATTCAAGCTTACAGAACCTGTTATTCTCAAGCATTCACCCATCTAGGTAGTGACCAGGCTTGACATTGCTTAATTTCAGTAATCATACAGGAATCAGTGTTTCAATGTGATATGGCTGTAAGCTCAAATATTTGTACTGTGTATGGAGATGAAATGCCTCAGAACAAACAAATGGTTAAGGCTAAGCTGTAAGTTGAATAAATGAACAGGCTCAAAAAAACAATTCAACTGAAAAGACCTGACCAGGTATACAGTGTGATTATCCAACATGCTCACCCCCACATTGCTAAGATGACCAAAACATGCAATTAAAGTGAAATCTGAAAAAAACTTTCATAAAAATTGAAATAATGTCCCAATTTTTCTGCGGATCATCAAAAATTTGGAATGGACCACTGGTGGTCCGTGGACCGCTGGTTGGCGACCACTGCTTCAGATTATCATGTTTTTTTTGATCACTTTCTAACAATTTGATGAAGAGCTTAAAACATGGGTTGATGAATTTTTGAGTCAAAAGGTAGTGATTTCTATATTGAGGCACTGAACAATTAGTAGATCGTTGGCAGCAGGTCATAAACAATGAAGGGGAATACATTGTTGAACAATTCATTAAAACTATTGTAGTCTGCTCTTTCAGAGTTAATCTTTTTGTCTTCCATCTTTGTAAGCCACCAATCTGTCAATGGGTGGCATGCCACTAGTGTTTATCGCTGGTGGTCCACTCTCTCGGGATCATCTCAGCAATGTTATCACTGGCGGACTACTGGGTGTCCTGCCAGCGGGCCACTAGCGGCTTGTGTGTAGGCTTAGGCTACTTGCCATGGTATCACTAGAAATTCTCTTCAACTCACTCCAATGGACTTCCTCTGATTCATTTTGAGTTCTTTATTTAAAGTGTCTTGCCTAGTTCATTTTGTGTTATTGGGGGTGTCTTATTTACTTCACAACAGTAACCATAATGAAGACACTGCCACCTGGTGCCATAAATGCAACAGGGATAATTTTAATCTATCAAATAGTTAAAGACATTAAAGACAAAAAATACACATGGTGTTTTATGTATTTATATACTAGAGTAGTGGTATTTTCAGAGGAATTTTAGTACTTCAATGAGTACAATATTTACTGTGATGTACAGGAAGTCACTGATAGGCTGTTGTTTATAAAGTGTTACATAAATCTGGTTTTGTGCCAATGATGCCTAAGCATAGTATTAGTAAATATCAAATTTTTTTAGTTATTATTACTTGTTCAATCTCGGTTTATTTGCTGATGGCAATATGATCAAATTTTAAATCTAAATTATTTGTTCATTTAAAATACTACATTTATTAGAATATGTATTCAGTTTAAATACAGAAGTCATAGAAATGACTTCAAAGGGTTGCACGTTTTAGCTTAGACAATTTTCCTGTTACCCAGGGATTGCAACCAGTCAAAAAGGGAAATTAATCCTTTTGACACAAATGTCCATTACAATTTTATTCAAATTGAGTGTTTATGCATGTACAGAGTGGTCCGAAATTCTTGTCACTCTTACATAATATAATTTTCTACTTCAGATTCAAGTTGAAAAATCCATCAACATTTTCTATTCCTATTAAATTTGTAAAACTCCTCTATAAAAATAATCCATGTAAATGTACAGGTTGGTCCGAAAGTATTGTCACTCCTACATAATAAAATTTTCTATTTCAGATGGCTGACACGAGCTTCTACAGACCTTCTCAATGAGTGACAGTGTCAATGAAAGCAAATAAACTGAATCCATTACATGTGCTTTGTATTACTTGTTCTTCTATTGTTTTCATTACTTTTTGGTAGAGGGTGACAAGACTTTTGGACCACCCTGTATATTTCAGTTCAATGACAAGCCTAAAAATATTTCTACCAAATAAAATAAAAAAATATTCTATTTATTATCAAATAATTTCTGAAAAGTCCCCAAAAATCTTGAAATTATTTAATTTCATTAGTATTTACATGTGGACTATTGTCCTCATCTTCATTCTTGTTATTACATTTCAGCTGCTGTACCCTTTGGACCTTCATCAGATGTAGGTCAATTCAGGGTAACCTATTGATAAGGAGGGCGCAATTGCCAAAACATTGTGATAACAACAACAAAGACAAGGATAATAGGCCTCATGTAAATTATAACTCCTCATCTCAGAAATTCAGACAGATTTTATTAGCATTTAAAAAATTCATTTTTTTCATCTCTCTAACTTTATTATTTTACTGCTCAGCACAGGGTAGGGGCTGGCTAGACTGATTGGAAGGAAATGTATAATTTGAATGTCTTACTCAGTCAAATTGTGCTTGTGGGTACATTAAATAGTACATTAGATTTGTTGGTGCTATCAGAATGTTTTAGTCATTGCATTCACCATTGCAGTAATTCAGTATATTTTTTTTTTGCTCTTTGTTTTCCTTGCGTAAATAAACTACTATCAAAATTATGTTTCACCTTTAAATCACCCAAAAAGAGTTGATTAGCCATAAAAGAAACCAAATCAATCAATCCCTATTATATTGTTTTTAATATACTGTATATACTTGTATAATGTGCGATCTTGTGTATTGTATGACTCCCAAATTTTCACTTTTAAAAAATGATTTTATCACATATCTTGTGTATCTTGCAAATTCCTTTTTTGAGAGACCAAATTACAATAGACCAACCTCTTTTCCTCTATCTCTTTATCCCATCTTCTAGTTAAAAAAGTAAAAGAAAATGATAAAAGTATTGTTAGTAACGCTACATTCGTTGTGTAAACACATACAGCCATAAACAACCAAACAAGAAACAGCTAAAAACAGCTTATAAATGTAAACAATGGAAAAGATGCATATTTGCTATGTTTGTATTTTATAATACAATACTAATATTTGAATATTATATGCATTATTATTAGATATAGTTAAGTAAAATGTCAGTTCTATCAAAATCATGTTTATTTTAAATACAGCTGTAATATTTGACTATAGTAAATGGATATATAGTTTGGTCAATGGTGTAACCAGAGCCAGCAGTACATATACTAATTTTGTATCTCGTATATGATGTGATCCCCTTAAAACTAGCTTCAAAATGACGTCTTCAAAAATTGCATGATACACAAATATATACAGTATCCATTTTTTACTGCTATAATATAATTTTATACACCCCCCCCAAAAAAACCAAAAAACAATTAAACTCATAATTACACTCAAAGTATAAAAGAGCTTACCTTTTGCATTGTATGTGTAACATCTTTATTATTATTATTATTATTATTATTATTATTATACAATTGTCTGCCTTGATAACCAACAGCTTGCTTGTCCAGATGAGGTTGATGGGATGGTGGCAATGCATCTGGTATAAGACTTGAACAACTGTAAATGAAACGAAGAATAGATTCCCAAAACATATTTTCAGATTAGACAAATCCAGACATAAATCTGACTGTTAAGTTATTGACAACAAGAAATAAAGGACATCCTGTTTATCTTTAAATTAAAATGACCTAATAATATTTCTGATGTACAAGTTTGCCTTAAGATTATTTTACCTCAATTTATTATATGTTGTTAATTAACCCATAAGCAAATAGTATAAGCATAATATAAGCATCATAATAGGATAATATTAGCTAAGAGATAATAGTATGAGCATAATATAAGCATAATATTATGAGCATAATAATTTTTTTTTTTTTTACAGTGAGGTTCACCCTTTACAAGTCCTGGGGGCCACTCAAAGTAGAGGGTTACATCTGGAAACTGTTTGTACATATAGGAGTAGAAGATAATGGTTAACTCTAGCCTTGAACAGGTTAAGATGGTAGTGACTGAGGAAATATCCTGTTGGTAGTCGGTTCCATGGGGCAGTGGTTCAAGAAAAGAAGCTGTTCTTAATAAAGTGATACAGGGAGCCTAACATTTTACCTGCATCCTCAGCAATGGATCATATGTACGAATTCTACTTAAGGTTGGGTGTAAATCTGAGGCCCGACAATCTTTCAAGGCATCGTGCTTCCATAAGAGGACCTATGTTCATCCAGATTGGTGATGATAGAATGTAACTAGCTTGATCTTTGAGGCATTGAATGTAACCAGCCAGTTTTTACCCTACTGGGTAGTTTGTACAAGATCAGAAGAAAGTTCACTTGCTAATCTCTTACCATCATGAGTTGTTGACGTGTGCTCATATATAGTTGTATCATTTTCATAGTTGTTTACATGTGATTGGAGTATAACGCTGTGGGCCTTGGGAATCTGACAAGTCTTTCTGTTCAATATTCGCTATTGGTATTGATCATTTTGACCCAAGCCTTGATTTATCCCATGTTGTATTTGATTTACAGCATAAGGCTGGTGAGGGTCAATTGTCGACAGGAATTGTTGAACTAGTCCTGACCAGACAAAGTAAAGGCACAAGTCATAAGATAAGTTGTAAGAAAAAAATAATATTTTATGTGATGTTTCTCATACAGAACTGCTAATACAAATTTTGTTTCCTATGCAGGATTGTAGGTTCAAAAAGGCAGGTATATCTTGCCATGCAAAGTCACTCGACCCTTCTCTCAGTTGAATATTTCATGTTAGTCGTGACTAAGTCTAGACAAATTTGCTGGAATGCAGATTGGAGTCGGAGGCTTTCTTCAATGGCAGGAAGTCACGTGGAACAGTTGTCTCCTGTTCTTCTCCTGGTCCTGTCTGTTTGCCTCTGCAAGCACACTGTCTTTTATGGGACCTGGCTCTAACACACAGAGTAGGGGGGGGGTCTTCAGGCTTTTCCCAATTCTCAGACTAATTAACTAAATTTTAACAAAGTTTCTTTGTTTAGAATTTTTCTGCAATATCCTTAATTTTTCTCAATTTGGAAGTTATCTCATTCCGCAGGTAGAGAGTACAGGCCTTGTTCCTTCCAGTTACTCCTGCTGCCTTTAAGTCTCACACCAGTGTTTCTGATTGGCAGAGACCACTCTCTCTTCTGTCTACCTGAAATTATTCCCCTGAGCCTTCTTTCAGCTAATACTTCCTCAGAGCAATATACTGATACTTCTACCCTTCAGTGGATGGAGAAAACGCCATCTTTCCTTTCTCCCACCTCCTTAGTGTTTCACCTGTTGTGATTCCTGATCAGGAAGAATTAACACCCTCTTCCTACTCCACTTCCATCCTTGGGACAGTCAGCATGGCATCTGGTCTTTATTCATTTTCATAACATTGTTTTTGTATTTCAATTTTTTCTGGGCATATTTTACCTGTCATGACAGTTCAGCAAGCATAAATCCATTGTTCTTTTACCTATCTTTGGATCATGTTTCCTTGATAACTGGAATACACTTTCTCCGAATTAAGCCAAGTTTAAAATTTAGCATATGACCCTTTGTTTCTCAGCCCCTGAGAAAATATATTTCTTATTTTTTCTTTTTTTTTTTAAATCCAACATGGGCTGTGGACAATTTCCTAACCCTGATTTGCCTTTTAAACAATGATATCTCTTGGTGATTCAGCTTTGCCAAATTCATTCTTTTCTGTTGACAAGTGACAAGTGATAAAAAAAAAAAAAAAAATTGGGGGGAATCAGATGTTCCAGCCCCTCCTTTCTACGAATTTACAAAATTTGGTCACATATTTTCAGTATGGCTACTGAGCTATCTCTTCAACCTGTAAGGTGTCACATAGTATATACTTAGGCAGATCATTTATGTAGATCAAAAAGAGAATGGGTCTGAGGACTGACCCCTGGAGTATTGATTTTTAAGGTTCTGGAGGACTGGCCATTGGTAACTACCTTCAGGGATCTACCTGTTAGGAAGTATTTTATGAGCGAGAAGATCCTACCAGTGATTCAATAACTGAAAAGCTTGTGTAGTAAGCCTTTGTGCCATATCTAGTCAAAGGCCTTTGAGATATCTAGTACTGTGGTCCTCGCAGTGTGTTTGTCGTCAAGAGCCCAACTGATTCTGTGAGTGATGGTAGTTAGGACGTTGGCAATAGATTTGGGCTGACCGAAACTCATGCTTCTCGTCACTGAAGAATTTGTTCTTTTCTAGGTGCTCGACAAACTTATTGATTATGGGGCCTCAAAGAGCTTGCTGATGATACTGAGGAGACTGATGGGTCTGTACTGGGAGGGGGAAGGTTGCATGCCCACATTCTTGAAAACCAGGCATATGCTTGACACTTTCCACAGGTTTGGGAATGATTCCTCCTTCAAGCAGTGGTTGAATAATTTTGCTAGGATTGGGGATAGTTCTGGATTGATGCTCTTAAGGACAACTACTGGAATTTTGTCTGGACCAGTGGCTTTCTTAGAGTCAAGGCCTTTGATAAGTCTAGAAACCTTACATGCTGTAAGGGTAATATTATTACTGAGATTGAGCTCAGTGAGACATGGAAACTTGGGGAGGGGAAGGTCTTTGTCATCTAATGTTGAGTTAGAGGCAAAGATGCAGGTGAAGAGGTATGCCTTATCAATCGAGGAAGATATCACCGAGGGGCCAATTATAATGTGGGCATAGCTGTTTTACCTCTGTTCATGATTTGGTTGGTGATATTCCAGAATTCATGGGATCCAATTTGTTTCTTTTCAACCTTAGTCTGGACTGTTTGTGCGTAGCTGCTTTTGGCATTTTCTAGAATTTTTTGCAGTGATTGCAAGCAGTTCTGAATGCAGTGAGGGCTGAACTACCTTGCTCCTTGTGATAGATATTGAAGTAATAAGTTATGGCTGTAACACATTCAGTGGTGAACCAGGGTTGACTGATTTTTGCTAGAATTTATTTTGGGGTATAAAACTCTCCATTCCAGAAAGGATTCAATCAGTGACAAGGGTAGCAGTTTTTGAGGCAGCATGCTTGAAGAAGCTTGGGAGGGGTGCTTCCACCATGTAGGATTGAAAGTTGTCTCAATCTGTCTTTGCATAGCAAAAATCATTCTATGGAATGGTAAATCGGGGGACTTAAGTTTGGTATCAATGTGAACATTGATTAGGGAATGAGTGGAGGTAAAATTTTTGATAGGCATTTATCAGGGCAGGAGATTAGGAAGAGGTCGAGGAGGTTCAACTGATGTTCTGGGTAGGTTCTTTGATGATCTGGGTTAGTTCATAGGTGATGGAGAAGTCTCTGCAATATCTACCTTCAACATTAGTTTTGTCAGAGTGGACTAGCCACTCTTTATGGAAGATATTGAAGTCACCATAAATATGAAAGCTGGCTGAGGGAAATTGAGTGAGGATATTGTCAATCTTCTCAGATATTTGGTGAAAGATTACTGTCACTTTGTCCTGAGGATGGTAGAGAACAAAGACAAGTGTGGTACTATAGATAAGTACCATGTAGAAGCACATATATGGGAGGTTGGGTTCCCTGTTTTTTTTTGTGTCCCTGCCATAGGGAATCTTGTCCTTGATGTAGGTTCTGAATCCATGGCCATGATGATTTAGTTGGTCATGTTTGGCTATGAGAGGTGAGTAGCCTGGGACTGAGAACTTCCCTAGTGTGCCTGAGGCATTGATACTGGTTTCAGAAAGTAGGAGATCTGGTTCAGATTGGAGAAGATGGGGTTCTACTTCTGGAAAGTTGGAACATAGACTCCTCATGTTGGTGTAGGAGATGGTATCTGTGGTGTCTACTTCATTTTTGGGGGGTTGGGTTTGATAGTTTTGTTCCTTTAAGAGATAGTATGAACATAATATAAGCATCATAATATGAGCATAATATTAACTACAAAATAATATTATGCTCATAATATAAGTATAATAGGGAATTAAAAACAAAAATGAAAAGAAAATGAGTTTGAAATCAAAGAACTTCAAAGGAAACTTAGCTGGAAATTATGAAGTTTGGGAATAACAATATAATTTTATTTGCTCACTGCTAGATTAACATAAAAAGATTAGCGATTACAAGTTTCCACATTCCTTCACATGGCTGAAACACAAGCCCTACAAATTTTTAACTAATTCAAATTTGAAAACCTTGATGACAAGAACAAAATACAGTGTGTGAAAAATAAATTCCAGGAAAACTTGGCTAAGAAAAAATATAACATAAGTAAGTCCTTCCCATATTTCAAACAGAAGTAGAGGTTTATCCATTGTTTCCTATTTAGGTTTGGGTTTCCAGATCCTTCTAAAGTTTTCTCATACTCTCTTGTGTTTTACTGGTATTATTGCCTTGCTTAGAGAGAAATGATTAAAAAAAAAATATATTTATTTTCAGAAGAAATCAATAATATTCAGAAAAAGTTGACTCATTTCTGACAGATATAAAACTGAAGGTTAAGAACTGAATTTGGTAAGCACTAAGATTACATAGTTAAAGACAGAATTATATGTGACTTTTCATGACTCAGACTTAACATCATTAAAAAAGGAACAGACAAATACCGAGTGATTAAAGTCAACACAAACCATATTAAAATTGTACATATGAGAAAACTAAAAAACTCGTGTCCCAATATAAAAACATCAGTCCTAAATGTCACATGTTACGTGTTATAGCACAGTGGCCCCTTTCATTGAACTTATGGCTCCCCCAAAATTTTCTCTGGCCCCCACAGAATTTACCAGGGGTGCCATATACCCCCCCGGTTAAGAACCACTGACATAGACTATATAAATGTTTTTTTATCTTTCAATAAGGAACATTAGAATTCTCCTATGTTGAGTTGGGAGATGTGAAGTATTAAAACAGAGTTACTTCCCTTGTAACTATTTACAGAGACTGATCATATTTCAATAAAGAATAGAGCCTGCAGCTACTAGCAATCAGAGTTAGTTCTGTCATGGGTTTCTACAGATAAGCCCACAATATTTTTTTTCCTCCAGTATGGTAAAAAATTAACATGATACATAACAGATATACAATTTATCTACATGGCCTGAATGGTAGCATAGGGAGATGTTCAACTAGAAATGCTTCCTGTTGTAACGATAGGGTACCATTATTGTTTATTCCTGACAGAATCACCAATATATGTAGCGGTTGTATTACCATTGTTGTTGTGATTGAGTTACCAATATTTAACTTTGGCTGAGAAAGATGAGATTAAGGACAATGCATGAACGCAATGCAATTTATACTTGACGTAAATAGCACATAGAATAAAATACAAAACTGAACGGAATGATTTCAAAACATAACAATTAGATTTATTAATGTTTGATGTACATAAATGCGAACTGAAAAGGTAGGACAGAGTCGTGTCCCTTTGATTAGGTATTAGTTGTACCGGAGTTCATATTAAGAAAGTTTGGAATTGTGAATTGTAAAGTTGGTAAAAGTTCAGGAGTGATTTCAGAGTTTGTGAATGTTGGTAATTGTCTTTAACGTCTGGCCAGCAATGACTAAGACGGGAGTTCCTGAAGGTTACATCTTGGCACTTGGTAGCAAGGAATGAAATGTGCGAGAGAGATGAATGGAAAGAAAAACTCGAGGAAGTTTACACGTGTTGGGTTTATATAATGGTTGTGTACCACGTGGGAGGCTTAAATGGAGAACGCGGGAAAAACAGATTGGTCGCATGCAGGCGGTTTGATTGGTTGGAACTGACCAATCAGCAAGCAAGATTGGAGGTGATTGACCAATGAATACTTGTTATATTTATGTGAAAGTAGGATGTTACTTATCAGATAGGAAGAGTGCATTTCCTAAAAAGAGGTAAGGCTGGTTTGTTGTGGAAGATTCCACACTGTTACTAACTACATATCAGAGTATTTCAGGTTATATTTTTTAGATGAAGCATTTTTGCCTCTATCATTTTATGAATAAAAACTTTTAAAGTATAAACATTAGGATTTGGTAAAAATGAACAAATTACACAGGTTCAAATTATAGCAGAGTCAGAAAATATCCTTACCTGGCTCCATTCTCCTCTGACGAATCTGGTGCATTTTTAGTAGTGTTCGTTGGATATTGTGATTCCAGTTTTTCTAATTGCCTGCAATGAAAATCTCAAATCAGAAAACCAGAATATAAAATGTCAAAGCAATGTGAACCTGACAATTCTGAAATATAATTTTTTTTTTGCTCATCATCTGCTATTTTCTTTACCTTAGTGAACATGTTGAATATTTTAACAAGGACAAAGCTTCACTGTCTCAACTTTCCATAATTTCATCACTCATTTCACATGAATTTCTTATTTTTGCTTTTATCACAAACACTCAAAGTCCTGAAAGTATACATCACATAGAAGAAACAGAAAATATCCTTACCTGGCTCCATTCTCCTCTGACGAATCTGGTGCATTTTTAGTAGTGTTCGTTGGATATTGTGATTCCAGTTTTTCTAATTGCCTGCAATGAAAATCTCAAATCAGAAAACCAGAATATAAAATGTCAAAGCAATGTGAACCTGACAATTCTGAAATATAATTTTTTTTTTGCTCATCATCTGCTATTTTCTTTACCTTAGTGAACATGTTGAATATTTTAACAAGGACAAAGCTTCACTGTCTCAACTTTCCATAATTTCATCACTCATTTCACATGAATTTCTTATTTTTGCTTTTATCACAAAACACTCAAAGTCCTGAAAGTATACATCACATAGAAGAAACAGAAAATATCCTTACCTGGCTCCATTCTCCTCTGACGAATCTGGTGCATTTTTAGTAGTGTTCGTTGGATATTGTGATTCAGTTTTTTCTAATTGCCTGCAATGAAAATCTCAAATCAGAAAACCAGAATATAAAATGTCAAAGCAATGTGAACCTGACAATTCTGAAATATAATTTTTTTTGCTCATCATCTGCTATTTTCTTTACCTTAGTGAACATGTTGAATATTTTAACAAGGACAAAGCTTCACTGTCTCAACTTTCCATAATTTCATCACTCATTTCATGAATTTCTTATTTTGCTTTTATCACAAACACTCAAAGTCCTGAAAGTATACATCACATAGAAGAAACAGAAAATATTCTTACCTGGCTCCATTCTCCTCTGACGAATCTGGTGCATTTTTAGTAGTGTTCGTTGGATATTGTGATTCCAGTTTTTCTAAAAAATGAAAATCTCAAATCAGAAAACCAGAATATAAAATGTCAAAGCAATGTGAACCTGACAATTCTGAAATATAATTTTTTTGCTCATCATCTGCTATTTTCTTTACCTTAGTGAACATGTTGAATATTTTAACAAGGACAAAGCTTCACTGTCTCAACTTTCCATAATTTCATGAACATTTACCATAAAAATACTAATAGAAAAATCACAGGGAAGATATATTATAGCAGTGGGAAAGTAACTGAAGCCGAGATGCCAGGTCTAAACCAATAACATTGCAAATTCTTCTTTGGATTTTGTCAAGAATCTCTAGATATATAACAGAAGCACCAGACGAGTAATATTCCTTGCACGGCCTCTTCATAAACTTGTAAAGATGATCACAATTTTTGCCAACTTTTCCACATTTTTGAAGACACCTTCAAAGATTTTATATCTGAATTTCTGAAATGATAAGTTTTCATTATTTCTATTCAAACATCTCTCCTCATCTTCATTATTATTATTATTTTAGTCATTGTGCTTGTGGATTTATATTTGAATTAGGTAATCCCACGGTGTTCTGAAGTCAATCCCCACCCCAGCTTGTGAGAAAAGTTTTTTTGAAATAGTCTGGATTCAACCCACAGAATTATTCTCCTTCTGCTACTCAATAATTAATGATCTGAACAATTTCAAATATATTTCCTTTAATCAGTTAATTAGAATATGGTAGAGAAAAGGAATTCTTAAGATGCACCAGTAACATTAATAAAATTCAGTCCTAGGCCATTAATAATGTTAGACTGGAAATAAAAAACCTCTTTTCAAAAAAGATTGCATCGTCTGCACACACAATGCTTTGTCATTGTTTGCATTCTGTTTTTCAAAATCTAGTCAATTATTCATTCCAAATTTCAAACATTTCTTTCATGGTATTAATCCTCACTCTCAACCTCTTCTCAATTATTTGTCTCTTGGAGTAGACAGCCTGATACAAATCCTTACTATCCATCAAACATTTAACAGGGCTACCTTCTTGACCATTAAGAATCAATTCCCTGTACAAAGTAGCCAAACAAATGACATAGTCAACCACCCCCCCAACAAAAACCAGTATCTCACTAACTTATGTACTTCTAACCATTCTTCCGATTTTCTTTAACTGCCAAGAATATAATAAAACTGCCTTGACTTCCTCCAGCGCTTATCGATTAGAAACAGCATAGTTTGACAAAAACAGTTGAACCTTCTTCTATTTCCCAGAAGATAATTCTGGAAACAATCTAAGACACAACAAAATTAGATACCTCCAAAGATTGGCTAAAAAAATGAGTATACATGATAAAAAAAATGTCAAAACATAATAAAAAATAAAGTTTTATTTTTAAAAATTTGTTATAATTATCAAGATCAAAGTATTTTTTGATGTAATTATTAAGATCAAAGTATTTTTTGATGTAAAAATTATAGTTTTAACCCTTTTTAGAACCTTCAAAATTGTAGTTAAAGATCTTGTCTTTCTGGTGTCAATGTAGAGCTAAAACTGCATGAGAAATTTGAGCATGTATTTGTGGTGAAAAACACATTGTTTTAGAAATTCTTGCAAAATCATAATTGTCAGATTTTAATGAAACTTTCAGTACTTATTGTTGCACCGGCCTCTAACACAAGGGAATTACACTGGTTCTCACTATATATAGTGCCAGTAATACCTACTCGATGTAAGCAGCGACGGTACTACAACTGCCTAGCTGAGTAGTACCTGTTTCCTACCTTTGTATCTGTGATGTTAAATACACTTGTTCTTTAAACCAACTTTGACTTGATTTTCTTATTTTTACTATTGTGCCATGACACAACAGATTGGCGACGTCGGAATCAAAACGATATCACTGCAGACAATCACCTAAAGTGATTGAAATACAAGGATTCGCAAGATTTTTACGGCAAAACACCTTCGTCATTTCGAACAGATATGTGGATATGCAAAGATTAATAGCAAATTAATTACTACAATAGTAATTTGGCGACGTAAAAAAAAAATTATTAGAAACAACCAAAAATTTGCTACCAAAAGTCTACAGCATGAGAACGTGAATAATATTGTCAATTATAGTTGAAAATACTGACACAAAGGGTTTCGAAAAAAGAGGTTCACTGTTTTTTTTGGTTCTTTACAAGAAACCAGAGTTTTTTTGTCATGGTAAGATTTTTTTTTTTCTCCTCTTCAAAGTTAAATGATTTGTCAAGTGAAAAATATATATTCGCGTAAGTCATTGGTGCTTAACAAAGACTGTTAAAAATTCGAGTCATATTTGTGCAAAACCACAAAGAGGTTGGAAAAAATTTTTGTGACTTTCCCATTAGTCGACACTCCTTAAAGCAACGGATTTTTTTTGTTTTTTACGAGAAATACATATTTCTTGTTTGTGTATTAGTTGAGCAAACTAATTTTAGTAAGCAAGCCTTGGGAAAACTGATTTGTTTAATACAAGTGTAAACTGTATGGTGTGTAAATTCAATTCGTACCATGGACGCAGAATTAAGAGAGTCTCTTCTTCAATTGTTCAAATTTCAAACAGAACAAAGTCTCGCGTTGCAAAAGCAACAACTTCAACGACAACTTGAAAGTGAGGAGAAATTTAAAAAAGAGTTGTTGGAACAACAGAAACGTGTCAAACAAATCTTTATGTAAACACAGGAGGAACAGAGGAAACTTCTGGAGGCAACACAGTTAACGAATGCAAGCGAGAATCATAACGCATTCTCCCAGAGGGCTGTGTGGAATGCTATTGAAAGTTTCAATTATAATCCAGAAGACGATGTCACATTTGCTCATTTCTATAGAAGATATGAGGATATTTTTGTATCGGATTGCGGTACATGGACAGACGCTGAAAAAGTTAGGTTTCTGCTAAGAAAATTGGGAACTGCTGAGCATACAAAGTTCGTGAATTTTATCCTTCCAAAAAAGACTAGTGAGTTGAACTTTCAAGAGACAGTTACTCTACTAACAGAACTGTTTTCTACAAAAACTTCTCTTTTTCACAGGAGATATAAGTGTATGAATGTCACTAGAAGAGAGGAAGATGATTACACTACTTATGCAAGTATTGTAAACAAGCATTGCGACAATTTTAAACTGGAGGAATTATCATCAGATAATTTTAAATGTTTAATATTTGTGCAAGGGCTGGTTTTAGGTAAAGACGCTGAGATCAGGCGTCGTGTTTTAAATAAACTCGAAAATGAGCCGAATTTAAAACTACAAAGCTTAGCGGAAGACTGTGAACGGTTTGTTGTGTTGAAACAGGACAGTCATGACATAGAGGAAAGCGGAGTGTCGCACATTAAAAAGGTCCATCAGAAGAAAAATTTAACTTCAAAAAATAACCAGAGGAAAAAACAGGGAAAAGATCCACCTGGACTGTGTTGAAGGTGTGGAGTTAAACATTGGTACAATGAGTGTCCTTACAAATTCAAACAATGTGACAACTGCTACCGGAAGGGGCATAAGGCATCACATTGTAGGGAAAAATCTGGTAGAAAGAAGGCATCCATTAAACTAATGAAAATTGAACCTGAGGAACGAAATATCCGGAAATTTGTACAGGTCAAAATGTTTAAAAAGAAAGTAAGACTACAGCTTGATAGTGGGTCTGATATTTCCATCATTAATATACAGACATGGAAGAAGCTTGGGAGACCCACTATGATTAAATCACATAAAACGGCGAGAAGCGTCAGTGGTGAAAAAATCACCTTTGAAGGAGAATTATTGACGAATATTTCTTTTCAGAATAAGACCGAAAAAAAGCGAAAATTTTTGTCATGCGAAAATCAATAACCTCTTTCGAACTGATCTGTTCGAAAAATTTAGACTATTTAATCTCTTTTGTCAAAAAGTTGAGGATGCGAATATGGAGGCAGAAAAACTTAAGAGGGAGTTAAAGAGAATTTTCCAGACGTATTTACAGGCGGTCTTGGAAGGTGTACAAAAGCGGTAGCAAAATTTGAAGTCAAAGAAAATGAACAGCCAGTGTTCAAAAAGAAAAGAAAGGTTCCATACGCCGCTATAGAACAAATAGACGGTGAATTAGAAAGACTCGAAAACATGGGTGTCCTCGAAAAAATTGATCACAGTGAGTGGGCTACGCCAACAGTGTACATCAAAAAGAAGAGCAAGGAGATTAGGGTTTGTGCTGATTTCTCAACAGGTTTAAACAATGCATTAAAGGATCACCATTATCCCCTTCCGAGCCCTGAAGAAATATTCGCGAAACTGAGTGGAGGGAAATATTTTTCTAAAATCGACCTCAGTGACGCGTATTTACAAATCCCAGTCGATCAGGAGTGTTCAAAGCTGCTATGCATCAATACCCATAAGGGATTATACAAGTTTAACAGACTTCCTTTTGGGGTCAAAGTCGCCCCTGCGATTTTTCGTAAACTTAAGGAATCAGCACATATGCTAGGCCACAAAAATCTCCTGAGCCGACCAAGCATAGAAATAAATACAATATGGGAACCAGTAATAAGGAGTGCCAGAGAAAAGCAATGATAACAACAAAGTTGCAATATGAGCTCTGGTAAAAACAGGCAATGATAACAGCAAAAATTGCAATATGAGCACTGGTAAAAATGGTTGCTGAAGACACTAGGTTTATAATACCCTGAAATTCATACCCAGGTGTCCTCAAGGACACATGGCACAGTGGATAAAGGCGTTGGTTAGATCCAGTGACGGGACCCAGAGGAGTGTGAGTTCAATAGGAGAACTTTCAGAGGGATATTAGCAGGAGATAACTGATAACTGACATCCATCAAACATGGCACGTGGAACTAGAACAGTCTACCCCAGTGAGTGAAATAAAGGGTTCAGTTCGAAATTCCAACCACCTGAAGAAGGCCGGAGCATACAATGGCTGAAACGTTGTGATAAATATGGCGACAAAGATGAGGACAATAGTCTGAATAATGTAAATAAAGTACATAATACCTCATCTCAGAAATATAGACAAGTATAACGTTGTCGTCTAGTCTAATTTTGAGTTGGAAATTTTTCATTCTTCCTAATCCTTCCAACAAGGGTAGGTGTCAATCTAGAATTTCTTTTGTTGATTTCAGGATACTTTT